ACTTCCCTTGCCGAAAAATCGAATATTTAGCACCCCGATGCCTACGCATCTGCGTCTGCTCGTAAGAATTATGTCCCGTCTCACGTGTAACCCATAAATTCCGAATCCCGGCAATATTTCGATGGCAAAATGCCACTCGGGGCCACGCGTCCATTGAAAGTCTGGGGGCGCGTTTACTTATTCACGCGTCGTCAGGCCGGTCGCCATCGGGACGCAATATTCAGCGACTTATGGCAATATCGCGACGCATTTAGGGAGAGGCTGCAGAATCACGACTAACCGACGACTGATCGCCGTGGACCACGTTGCGTGCGCGTCTGCGTGATTTGTGCGAGTAAGAAAATTTCGTAACAACGGAACAACAGTGGTTCCCCGTTTATCACGGAAGCTGAGGGCGTCGGATCTCCACCCCCGGCACCACTGTCTTACTCGGTTTAACCCCTTGCACTGCGGCGACTGCGGTGACTCTCAGCCACCGTTTGTTTCGATACCTGGAAACTTAAGGTGGTTTTCTGGTATCTTGATTTTTTCCGTGTCTTTGAAAAATTATTATAGGGTACCATTAACACTCTGTGTTTTGAAATTAATAGGGTTTATTTATACGGTCTTTGTGTACGTGTGTTGCATTTTTTATTAGGAATGATGGAAAATTGCCGAAATTACGTGCCATTGTCTGATTGTTACTATCATTCAGAAGTATTTTGAAAAATTTCGAGTCACACTGAATATTTGTGAGTAGATAATATCTTCAAAATAATTAATTTAAAAGAAAATATTTAAGTTGGTTCTCAACAATCTAGCATTCTTTATTTTAAATACATACCTGAAGTAATTAGGGTGTTACTGAAATTAGGAATACTGCAAACTGTATATTTCTTAACAGAAAAATTTGCGAACCCGCGATTTCGTAACAGTTACATTATATTCTCGATAACCCCGTTCCAGTCACTTCGATAGAACCTCCCCTGAAGAATGTTGCAAATAAAACAACGAAACCACCCCCTCAGGGTGTTCCGTACTCGGCCTTCTGAACGGGTAGATTCACGGCCAAAAATCAAACGCGAGAGCAAAGAAAACTTTCCGCTGTAATACCCGAAAGCGAATGAAACACGAATGGAATACAAGCGAATCTAATTTCATCCCCTCGAGAAAGAAGCAACCCCGTCATAGCACTCGAGCACCACGATCAAAGTTTACAACGATCAGGACAGAGGGTGGCGGCAGGAGAGACAAATCCGTGGCGTTATTGAATTAAATTCCAAACGGAAGTGGATCTTCGATCCGTTCGAGGGGTCGTGAAAAAAGGCGAATAAAGCAAGAAGTAGACGGGGGTGGTGGATGGGTAGCGTCTTATTCCGTGCAGTTTCACAAAGTGTGGCTTACCCTTAACGACTCGCTCGTTAAAAGCGGCCGGATTTACCGTTGCCAGCGAAATTGCCCGGAGATGAGGCGGGGACCTAGGGCCGAAAGAATTCCACGGGGAGAAGAAGCAGGGCGCGTTAGGGTACTTTTGTTGGAGGAGGTCAAGGTGAATAATCTAATTGTCGACGGGGATGGTAAATCCAGGGCCTGGTAAATTAATTTCACTGAAAGTTACTTGCGTAATTAACCTCTTCGACATGCACTTGATTCGTTCGATAGAAATTTCCCCCAAAAATCGTAAATTTCAGTGTAAACAGCAGCCATCTTGTTATATAATCTTCCAGTCCGTAAGAATGATTACGAATAATTCGATAAAACGAAAGGACGTAAATTATGGGAAAATTAATAGCTAAATTTAATTAATTGCATTATACTAACAATAAAGAACAACTTATGATAATTTAATTTAAAGTAAAAACCTCATTTTTCAAATAATGGACTGAGTAACATATCGAATAATGAAGTGTCTTTATTGTATTAAATTTTGATATATAATTGTCTTTGAAAACAAGATATAAAAATGGCGATGCATAAACTACTAAAAATAGGAAACCGAGGAAAATCCTTTAAATTATTAATTTAAACAATAATGGTGGAAATAAAATATTTTTTATCGCATATATGGCAGTATTGGTTCGCAAAGGGGTAAATACATTAACAACCATAAGCTATACAAATATTATTTTATCGAGAGTGACTCGTAGTCTAAGTTGAACATTAATAAAAATCATTTAATAAATCCTTCGATGAAATAACGCTTATTAATACAGGTTACAATGGCTGTACTTTGGTGCCTTAATGGAACTTTATTTTCGAATATTCTATATTTCATGGATATAATAAAAATCAAATCTTGGTGGGAGCCGTGTGGTGGCCAGTGTTATTTCTTGATCGATCGTCATCACGTTGAATAAACGAAATATCGGCGGCCTTAACCGTTGAAAAGGCAGAAAACCGTGAAAGGCTTTCCCACGAAAGCATTTAAAGCGTATCACGTTTTGAATGGAATAGGCGTGGCGTGGAGGTGGAAGAATTTTTAACGGGATCCTGATACCTGTAAGAGGGATATTTTGTCGAGGAGATTTGCCATTTAAAACGTGGATAAGAGTGAAATGGGATCGGGGATTTGTAAGTATTGAAAAGGAGCCGAAGGGGTCGTGAAATGTCTCGTCGAATTGTTTGTTTCACTCGTTTCGAATACCAAGTCGAGGCCATGAACTCGATTCAGAACACTAACATGTTCATTAATAACAAACTTCGTTACAGATTCAACATTTAATAGACGAATTAATTCTGGAATTAAAAAGATAGGAACAATGTTCCTATTTGTCTTGATACAAAAATTCTTTTGCTTCTTGGTTCTCAGCTAATTCATTTGTGTTCACTATACTTCTGTAATGGTTAAGTAAATAATTTTAATCGAATCAGATAGACAAATTAATTAATTCTCAGCTGATTCATTTGTGTTCACTATACTCCCATACTGGATAACTAAATAATTTTAATCAAATCAAATAGACGAATTAATTCTGAAATTAAAAAGAAAGGAACTATATTTCTATCTCTCCCGAAAAAAATTCTTTTGCTTCTTAGTTCTCAGTAGATTCGTTAGTGTTCACCATATTCCCATACTGGATAACTAAATAATTTTAATCTAAACATCACCTAATTCAGTTGAAAAAAAGAAGAAGAAGGAGAGAAGGAAGAAGATAAAATAAATTTTACACCACCTGCCTCGTTCCTTCTCTCCATTTATTTTGATGAAATTCTGGCAAATCTCGATTACGTTCCCCGGAAGCATGCTGCTCCTCGCAACAAAGCTTGGCCGACGATTAGGCGAAATAAAAACGGAAGGAGAGAAAGGAAACGCAGTGTTGCCTTAAATGGAAGGAAATACCGGAGGTCAGCGGAACAGAGAGATCGTGGTCGGAAAATGTGAAGGAGCCTGGGAATTCGCGAATATATTAGAGCCGGAATAAACGAGAAGAAAGGGAATCCGCGCAAAGGAGCCACCAGCGAAATGTTCTTGGAAAAATCGAAGGATACGAGGTTTCCAATAATAATGAAGAAAGAACGCGAGAAGCTTACCGGAACGTCTGGATATCCTTTCTTTATTCATAATTCTCCGTGGACCAACCATGGCACGGGCTTCTTTTCGCCACCTCGCACACGTGCCGCGAAATTTCCATTCGTTCATCATCGATCGTCGATGTTGGAAATTCGTTTCCTTTTAACCCGGCATGGTAACTGCATAGTCTTCCTGGAATCCATCGAACGAACTCGTTTCATGACGATTTACCTTTGATTTCGTTCCAGCCATATCGAAAACTGATGGCCCATTTGTTTTTTCACCCTTTGTGAGGGAAAATTGGAAAAGTGAAAAAGAATTTAACAACTTATGACGAATAACGTTAATTCTGTGATATAATATTTAATATTGAAATTTTGGAAATTGAATTTTTATTTATGAATTTATTGAAATATATATTTATTCTTTTTTTCTTTTTCTTTTTTTTGTAAGATATATTTGTAATGGTTGTTCGTTAGAAGGATTGCTTTTTCATGACGTTTCCTTGGGTATATACGAGAGGAGAATTTTATAAGAAAGATATTAATCACGAAAGGTTATTTTGAAGCCAATATGGTACTTCTGAACACCTCGGTGGTAGAGTTATTGAGCCAGTGGTAATAGTAGAGTTTGAGTCAGCTGTTTACAACCCTCTTACCCTCGTTTTCGGACACGGTAGTAATACCTTCGAGAAATATGGTTCAAATTGTCACACGATCAAGGTGCAAGTATATAAAGAAAGTGTATATATAAAGGAAAGAAGATTTGTATTCAATGACCATGCTATATTAACACTGATCAATTTTAATGATCAATTTAAATCTGTAATATACATTTAGTAATTCTTGTAGAATTTACCTTCCTGAAAACCATTTCTTAATCAAAATTCCTCTATCTCCCTGAATTTTCGAAAATTGTGAATTTTTCTAAAATCGCAGAATTTTTAGGTAAAATGAAGTATTATACCAAAATTGGAAGATTAGGGGATTATTTTTGTCTTGAAAGTTAGATGAGAGTATCCCGAGTTTATCAATTCCCCTAATTATAATTATTCATATTTTTGAATAATTATAATTAGTCATCGAATTTTAAAAATAAGTCGCCAATGCTTAAAGTTATTATAATATAACTTGTAATTATATAATTTAACAAATTTTTACACCAATTATATTTACCGGAAAAAATTTGTTAAATCCCTTCCCCTTTTATTTGCATCCTTGTCAAAATTATTATAGAAACATAATTAATTATGACGTAAATATAAAATAATTATTCTACGGTATAATTTTATTTCTATTTTTATTTTTATTTCATTATTTCCGGTTTTTCTAATTTTATTGTAAACGATTATATTTTCTGAAAATTTCCAATTCCATAATTTTATTTTCTCTTCGATTGGCTGTTTAGTAAATAAATAACGCGAGACAAAAATCCAATAAAAGTTAAACGGCATTCATATGACTATCTCCAAGGACCATTCTAATCGATTTTTCAATTCATGATGTTACAGCCTTTCATGGTGCCCATGAGAGTGCTGATGCTGTTAGGGGGTGGATTGCTGGCTGTGTTCGGGAGCGAGGCGATTGAGCTCGGGGGGGCTGGACCTTTGGCAGTGGTTGCAGCAGCCTTCGTCAGCTGTTATTTTTGGCAGAAGCAAGGCTGGGATGTCGATGATGTAAGTACATTTATATATATGCATTACAAAATTTTATGAAAATTATTTCACCCCCAGTCGCGTTACATTGATGAAATGTGAATATTTCTTCAGAATTTTTTGGTCAATCTTTGTTGATATATTCTATGATTAAAAATCAGGGAAAAATAGGATATTTCTACATATAAATTTTATCTTTTCTTGACAATAATTATTAAATTATCTTGCAATAGTAAATTCTTTTTTAGTACATAATTGTCCAGACTATATTGATGAAAAGGATTTAAAACTTTTTCCATGCTTGTAATTTATTAGGTATGAAGGATTTATTGAGTTTGTTGAGGAAAATAATTAACAAAATTTGAGGCGAGATGTTAAGAAGATTATTTGCGGTGGGATTAGCTTATACTCGTGCGTGTTGAATTAAATTCGCCTAATCAGTGAAAACAAGCTTATGTCGAGAAGAGATAATATGTATTTAAATGGACGACTACCTAGAACTTTCGCATTGCTTATATTTGGGCACACGAAAATCTGTAGCTTTAATATTGCAACAGTTGATTAATTTAAAAAAGAAAAAATAGCAGAAAAATAGTAAAAAATGATCCCAAAAATTAATAATCATAAATCCTTAATAAACTCATATCGTTATTAGTATTTCTTTAAAAAATCAAGTCAATATCGCATTTTTCTTTACTTTTTAATTTCTATTCATTACTTTTGAGCTGAAAAATTTTTAGAAATATATTTTCCATAATTACACGTCCGTGACAATTTAAAAATATTTTTATTCCACGCGTGAAATTTGTCCCGACATTACGTAATACATATTTCCTGCTTCGCGATATTCCTGATTTATTTTCCGAATATTCGTTATGAAAAAGCAATTTATTTGACAGAAAAATTATTTACCCTTTACGCCAGATTTCTATCTTATTTTATGTTAACTTTTACATATAAAATACCGAAAGTAAGGCACAAAATCAACGTGGAACTAAATCAAATTCTAATCTTCAGCATTTTTGTAAATCACGTTAATAAATGGTACAAAACCAAGGGAAAAGTGTGGTATAAATTAAAAGGATACGTAAAGAACGAAGATATACCGGACAAATTATTTTCAGTGTCGAAATTTATATCCGGAACTATCATAAATGGGACAAGTCAAGTTTACGCGTGCTATTTGCTTTCAGTTTAATCGAATCGTAACGAGACTAGTAAACTCGAACACCACCATTCGGTTCATTAATTTTATAGACGTCATTCCCTGCCCTTAAATGAAAATGAAGCATCAAACGTAGTGTCCCGTTATAGTCTTTGTTAAATTAATTACCTTCCACGTAATAACTGCACCCCAATTCTTTCTCGTCGCTTCAAATCCTAACCTCGTATTTGTTATTTCAAAATGTTCCTCACTTCTCGCAAATAACTGTCCTAAGGTAAAATGCGAATTACACGCAACAGAATTTTATTACATTTCGAAAAATGATTGCGAAAACACGATTGAATTACATAGAAATGTTCAAACATGTATTGATGTCGTACTTTCACGAATATAGATAAATAATAACAAAAACAATTATTGTTGAGATATATTCAATTCGTACTTTACGTCTTAGAGAGCCACAACGTGTTGGCAACCTTCGATACTAACTATATGTTATATTGCGAATATTTGTTGGTCTTCTTGAATACGATGCACAGTACCCACGTGCAATTGGAACTCTAAAAGAATCGATATCAATCGTTATGAATACACGGTTATATTATTAGGAACCTGTTTCAACTTCTACCTGCTGATATTATATTAACAATAATTAATATCCTTCGAATTTTAAAAAGAAAATTGAAGCTTAGAGCATAGTGTGTACCAAGTGTGCAAAGTTCTCAATTTTCCTGATTCATATTGAAATATTGCTGTTTCAAATCAACCCAATATCAGGTGACCTGCTACCTCTATATTCTGTCACAGATCTTCTAAAGGATCAGTCTCAAAATACCTGACTGCTTCAAATCATCAGCCATTTGTGCCCAAGCAAGCATCCCTTTGCAAGGCAACAATTATTGAATCCAGTTATCAATCAACCAACCTGAAAACTGTCTTTTTATCCACTCTTACATACTTTTATTCGGACCTGAATGCGTCTGGAACGATCAGTGATCCATCCAGCTTGCTGCCAGACAGATTATCCAGACGCTGATACAGGTCACCGGAGAGACTAGGCCCAAGGGAAGCGAATTGCTCGCAAATTGCTCGTGTGCCTTGTCATGAGTTTGACGTCTCTATCGAGGTTGTAGGAGCCTGGTCAAGGTAGACTGTCCTCGGAACTGTCGATTTTCTACGTTTATGCGAGCACTTTCTACACTCCTGTCACCTGGCCAGATCGTCTATGACACGAGTAGGTTATTAATTAAACTTCTTCGAAAACAGCTTTGCTCTCCAACGTCGTAAACCCTAAGACCTCGATTCGTCTTCCATGATCTCGGAATAGAACGTGTACTTCGCAACGATCCAATAGGGACCTGCCAAAATTGAGAGCAGCCGCTTCGCTTCTTGGCAAACGATCGAGTAGCCGGCCAACTGTACCTAAAAATCGGCTGCGAGAGGGTATAAACAGGCGTGAGAAGCGGTCGTAAAATCGCGGAACGATTGGAAAGTCGAGGAGGCGGCGTTCGCAATAATTCCTGGCGTTCGTGAAATATTCAAGCCGGCGTCCGCTTCAGCGTTGGGGCCCTCGACACGTAGCCATCGGTATGTCGCGCTCGCGAGCCGACACGTACCCCTTCGTGACGCGACTGTGGCCAGATATTGCCGACGCATTATGACCGATGCCGTCCTCGTAATTCGTTCTGAACGATTAGCGGAATCGCGACGCGTCCTCGGGAAAAGTCGATGATGCCAGTTAGCGTAATTGATCGGCTCGATGCGGCGAATCGATCGTGTTCCGATATGCCGGCTGGTGACCGATGATGGTCTGCAAGGGAATACGATGCCCAGTTTTATTTTGCATTTTAAAAAATTTCATCCGGCCAATAGCTATCTTTGGGATTTTATTTTACTACGGCTCTTGGAATTTTATTTTGTATTGAACAGTTAGGTTCGGAGTATTCTTTTTTTTTGTGTCTGGGCATTTTTGCAATTCAAATTTTATTGTTGCAATTGTTTTGGGAATTTTTATTTTATTTGAAGAGCAAAATGTGAGCTTAGAATTTTTCAGTAATTGTTTGATAATAGGTCACGTGTTGATTAAATGATTTTGATTATGCTTGATGGTATTGGTAAAATTTTAGTTATCTATCTTTGGGATTTTATTTTACTACGGCTCTTGGAATTTTATTTTGTATTGAACAGTTAGGTTCGGAGTATTCTTTTTTTTTGTGTCTGGACATTTTTGTAATTCTAATTTTATTGTTACAGTGGTTTTCGGAATTTTTATTTTATTTGAAGAGGAAAATGTGAGGTTAGAATTTTTCGGAAATTGTTTCATGATAGTTCTCATGTTGATTAAATAATTTTAATTATGCTTGATGGCATTAGTGAAATTTTAGTTGTGGTAAATTTTTCGCACGCTTTGATTGTTTTTGACTTGAGAAGTTATTTCAAATGAAGGATAATTGTCACTTATGATATGACAGAGTACAGAAGGAACTTTATATTTTATAAATGGGGGTTTAATTTAACATAGGTACATATATCAATTTAAAGAACTTACTTAAACATGACGAATTTTAGTTTTCGAATGGTAAAAACACGAAGATCATTGTTTATCTGTTAATTATTCGATATTGCAATATATTCAGCCCAATTGACGATCAGGAAAAGCTTTTGTTTTGTTGCACACGTAGACATTAACATCGTGTTGACTCCTCGTGTTATTTTTACGCTTTATTCGTTTCCAAGCAATTAACGATCGGACAAAAGCTTCCATACAGGTTGTCAATTATTGATAAAATCATTTTGCTCCAGATAAGTAAAACAATGGTATCTTGCTTATTTAATTAATGATTGGTTCCCGGGAGATATTATCGATTCGAGGGAATTACAACAAATTTACGATACACGTAGAATTTAATCTCCGCATATTCATAATCTCCAAAAAATATAATTTGATTTAAAACGGTGGGAGAAGGTCGAAATTATTTTAATATTGATCGTAAATCATTATTATTTGCTACCATACCGAGAATTTAGCGAATATTAAATTTTACAAAAACATAAGAATTATGTGAAAAATATAATAAATAGTTTTCCTGAAGAAATTTTATTTTAATAGAGTAATCTATCCATGGTCAATATTTATATGTATAATGTTCAAAGAATTGTATTTTTTTTACTTGATAAGAATCGTGATTAATAAATTTGTTAAATAGAAATTTATAGTGATAAACTTTCACGAATTTAGAATTTCATAAATTTAATTTTTATCATTCGAAATGAAAAATTGGTTAAATTAAAAAATTTCTAGTTTGAGCTGTTTACATTTTACCATACCTTATTCAAAAAGACTTCGCTTTCACGGGCTTTAATGAAGCATTTGGTTAAATATTATTTTGAACTACAAGAGTCTAAGCAATAATACTTCAACACAAACACGAGCAGCAGCAAAGCGACTAATTTAGCCGTAACCTAGGGTTGAATTGTACCTAAGTCAGCCTTGCGCATTCCAATTTTGGCTTTGGACTTTAGCACAAGAAAAGCAAAGCACGCGACACGACAACTACCATTGTCTTTCTTCCCTATTGTACCGCGTTGTTACTGTTTAGAGGAGTGTAAGCGAGAAAATATTACGAAAGTTAATTAAAAGATAATCTCTGCATTTGTCTCCTGTTTTAACAGAAATTGGGAATCTTTATAGAATGCTAAAGGCACCCCATTTCTGCCCGGTTAAACTCTATAGCATGTTATAGTTTATATTCTGCAACAAACAATAAGAGAACAAAATAGTACACGTCTTATTTATAGAAATTTTCATACTCTCTATCAGCGATGAAAATGATCCCTTTTTCTAAAAATTAAGTTT